TGAGTCTGGAGGTATTGTGTGCTAGGCTGCTGGCGGCCAGACTGCACAGAGTCATTGGTTGCTAGGATGCTGGCGGCTAGACTACACTCATTGGTTGCTAGGATTCTGGCGGCTAGACTGCACAGTCATTGGTTGCTAGGATGCTGGTGGCTAGACTGCAGTTATTGGTTGCTAGGATGCTGGCGGCTAGACTGCAGTTATTGGTTGCTAGGATGCTGGCGGCCAGACTGCACAGAGTCATTGGTTGCTAGGATGCTGGCGGCTAGACTACACTCATTGGTTGCTAGGATGCTGGTGGGTAGACTGCTCAGAGTCATTGATTGCTAGGATGCAGGCAGGCGCACCATAGCAATCTGAGGCTGTTAGGCTGGGCAACCAATCAATGACCTTGTGCTGGATACACAGGGTCATTGGTTGCTAGGACACAGACAGAGGTTCGGTGGGCAAACTGCCCATATCATCCACCCAATTAGCAAACAGATTACCAAATCAAGGCCCTAGTGGCCTCTACTACCCCACTGACTGCCATGTGAGCGTGGAAAAGCTTCTGCAGCAGCTGTGGCTCTATGACTGACAGGCGAGGGCAGGGGCGGTTCTGCAGCAGCTGTGGCCTATGTCTGGGGGTAGAAAAGGTCCTGCAGCAACTGTGGCCTGCCTTACGGCTCTATGATTGACAAGTTGACAAGTGAGCTGATTGAGAGGATGTCCCTCAGCAGCCGTGACCACTCCCACCGCTGCAAGACTGACAGGAGGTTCTGCAACAGCGGAAGCGGAAAGGGGCGGAGACGGCATCCGGAACAACGACGCAGGGGGCGGGGCCAAGTGACGCAGCCTGTGTAGAGGAAGGGCACAGAGACGTCACGGTCACGACGGGGGCGGAGTTGCAGGAAGGTGGGGCCTGGTGACGTGACCCAGTCAGGTAGCGGAAGAGGGGTGGGTCAACTGCGTAGCAGAGCCGAAAAGGGAGGAGTCGGAACATGGTGACGTCACGGCCCGGGCCGGTGGGAGGACAGGCAGAGCGGAGGAGGCGGGACTCGGGACGTCACGGCCGGGGATCGTGGGAGGGGCGGCACAGTGGGGGTTGCTGCATTGCAGCCTTCATCTGAAATCTCATATATAAAAATGGCCACTTCCAACCCCGGACACAGCGGAGGAGGAGCGGGGCCCGGGGCTCCTGGGCAGCACAGCACCGTCAGCAGCATGCAGGGTGAGAGTCCGACCCCTTCCATGAATTCCCCTTCATATACCCCCCTGTGTATAACTCCACCTCTATATACCCCCCTCCCTGTATACACCTACACCTCCTATATAAACCTCCTATATATCCCTCCTTCCCTGTCTGTATACACCTCCTATATACCCCTTCCCTGTATACACATATCCCTCCTATGTAATCTGTATACACCTCCCCCCTCCCTGCATATACCTTCTATATACCACCTTTTATCTGTTGACACATTGTACAGCTTCCTGTGCTCCCCTCTAAACTGCCTCCCATATGGGATAAGAAACACTGATGACATGGCTGTTCCCCTTCAGCCCCAGAATTTTACCCCTTGACATCTGTCGCCATATGTGCAGTGCCCTCTCCCCCCTTTCAACCATT